CTTGACGACATTAGCTTGTCCGCCCGTAGAGTGTGCCGCCGAGCATCAGCGCCGCGTTAGACTTCTCCGCCGTAATTACAAGCTCTCCTCCCTCCTCAAAAGTGACTCGGGAAAAAAAACGGAAGAGCACGAGGGCAACTTTCGATGGCCAGGAGTAACGAACGGAATAGCTTTGCTAGTCGCACATTACGAGGGGAGCGCGTTTTAGGTGCGCGGCTGCAGGTTTTCGCTTGGTTCACTGTAGCGAGAGAAGGCCTAATTGATTTTTCGCGATGTTTCTTTGTTGCGACCTTGCTTCAGTGGTAAACGCCATTTTTTCATGACGCCAACATGCATCTGTTGTGCCTTGAACTGATTCATTGAACGCGCTTCTTCCTTCACTGCACAATCACGTTACTGCGCTACCCACCTGCTTTACAAATAATCCCATGACTCGGTTATCTTTGAAAAACAGAGAAAACAATAAACGAGATATACACCAGCTGTAAATTCAGTATCTGGAACGTGTAAATAAAAGAAAGTCAGCGGCATAAGGATCATAAAAAAGAAGGGGCGAGGCGCTGTTGCGCGCAGCTTGGTATAGGTCGGTTTATCCGATGTGTACTCGGGCTCTGGGCTACGATGTTTGAATATTCAATAAAAATGTAAAAATCTGCCGAGGCTCGTGGAAATAAAGTGCGACGCGAGAAGAAGAACAAGAAGAGAAGCACGCTAAGGAAGAATAAAAGAGGACGAAGACGAAGCGTTAGTCGAGCGACATAGTTCGGCTCAGAATTTTCGCCGATACAAATGTAGAAAAGAGAAAGGAAAAGGAGTGGCTTTCAATGGGGTGTCAAGCTTTTCATTTTCGGTCGATACGGTCACTCGACTTGCTTAACTTGGCTAGACTTAGCCGGAGAAAACAAACTGCGGGATGAATATTGGTTTTAAAAACACAAGGCCTCTGAATGTAGCAAGATTAGAAATAAAAGTTGAGACCCCGTAGTTTGCGAAAACCCATTTCTCGATTTCGATTGACATGGCCTGCACAACTCAATTTGCAGTTGGAATAGAGCTCGTAAAGCTCGGCCAAAAAGAAAAAGACACCACTAAAGGATAAAATATTCCACAAGTGAGCCACTGAGCATCGTCAAACATACGTACGTAAAGCCGCAGTGGACGAAGCAACAAAGCTTTGGCCAAGACTACTGTCGCACCCGTTCAAAGGACATGCTCCCGCGTTTTACGACCTTCTTACTCGCCGTCGCCTCCACACTCTCTTATGGTGCTTCGCCTCCCACTACGACAATGAAACCCAAAAATAAAAAAAAATAAAAAAAAAACAGAAAAACGATATTTCATTTGAAAACATGGAAATACGCGAAATAAAGTGCAAAACTAGGATGAGTTGGAGAAGAAAAAAGGTGTTAAAACGTGAGCGTTGCAGCTCTCGAGGATTTGTAAGAATTAAGCTGTTAAACTTGGCTTGTTTGGTTTTACTCCTTTTCTACTTCCACTGCTCTCCGCAAGCTTCACTCATTTTCGACCGCAATTTGTTGGTGGGGCGCGAGCGTGGAAAGTTTTAAATCCAGATTACTTTGCTGCCACGGGAGAGAGCAAATATTTTTTCTCGGCTTTTCTTAGTTTGGCAAACTACGTGCATGCTTTTGATTATTGGCTATCGCTTTGGAAATGTAAATTAGGCGAAAAGGTTAATTAAGCGCTATCTGTCTGCAACAGACAAAGCATCTTTGAGATTTGGTGTCTTAGTCGAATAATGTAATTTAATTTTCAAGGTCACCGAAATTTCTGAATGTTGTTAAGTAAAATAAGAAAGCTAGCAGGAAAATGCGGGAAAAGGGGAGGTTTTCTACTAGGAAGGTGTATACGTAGCAAAGCCATAGAAACTGCTCACTCGGCGCGGTACTCTCAAGGGATAGCGAGCTCGCGAGTGCACTGATTAATGTACGAGTACCAACAGCTGACTGCACCTGCTACTGCTACTACCGAAAAGGCGCGAGCTATGTTTTTGCTCTCGGTTAATTGGCCGTGTATGTATATTTGCCGGCTTTTTAGTCGGTCTCGTGCACACGCATCAAACGACAGCCTATTTGCACGAGTCACGAAGACGCGTGGTTCGTTCGAGCACTTTTGCTCGCTGGCCAAACGCTGCGCGAGTAAGCTATTCCGACGTAAAGCCAGCCTCGAGTAAATGACGCGATTCAATTACAGCGAAAAAAGCAAGACAGAAAGAAAGCAAGAAGCGAGTAAATCCCACTGTCTGTCAGCGTTTCACTTAAACACTTTCCTGCCTAGTCGCAGAGCGCAACGTCAGGCAAAGCCCAGCTTTCTCTCTCATTCTGCCGCGACAACCAACAATGCTCCTCCCTCGCAGTGCGCTATGGCTCGTCCAATTAACATTTAGCCCCGCGACGACGACGACGACGACCAAGTGAAGCAGCGCACGTACTTAGAAAAGACGTCGACTGCACGCAGCGAATCAAAAGTTCCACGCGGCGGAGAGTCTTTGTGCGCCTCTCCCTCGCTCTAAAAGTAAGAATACCGAGTCAGTGGGGGGAGAGCTTACGTCCTTGCCCGCTCATTTTCCGCCGAACGATGGACTTGCACAGCCGAGGAAAGTCAGCCCTCGGGGGATAATTTTACTTTGGCGACTCGTCATATCGCGCCAGTTTCACAAATATTTCAACTTTCTTCCGTTCTTTCGCTTGCTTAATTGTTTATTGGCAAGGCCCATCACTGCCAAAAGTACGATAAAATATCGAAGCCTTGACATACCTGGAGTATAATATCGGTGCTTGCTACTCTCATTATCCTTGGGCAAACAACCAGCAAGTTTAATATTGCACTTGAAGCCTCGACGCGGCTTTCCAAAATCATATCCTCGACATATATACTTTTCGTATGTAGCATCTTGAAAAGTGCGCTTGAGCTCGTCTGTCCGGCGTACGTATAACGACGCAAGTAGGCCAACGTCTCTCGGCAAAGAAAAAGAAAAAGAAAAAGAAAAAGAAAAAGAAAAAGAAAAAGAAAAAGAAAATGAAAAAGAAAAAGAAAAAGAAAAAGAAAAAGAAGAAGAAAAAGAAAAAGAAAAAGAAAAAGGAAGAAAAGCTCGGAGAGATTTAAATCTTGCATTATCTCCCGCTTCAAGCGGACTCGGAAGTTTTCTATGTTAAGAGCGGATCTCGTATTATCCTCCAGACGATACACGCGGAGAAATCTATGGAGCGTCCGTGCGTTAGATTTTCCTAAAAATCTTTAAAATAATAACGAAAACAAGTATACGTTAGAAAGGTCTCTCTCACTCGTTTTACGCTCTACATCTCGCAGAAGAGTCTCTTCTCTCTCTTGCGCACTCACTTCCGACTGGTCATTCTAGCGTTATTGCTCCGGCTTGCCGCTCCCTCCCGCCTCTCTGCCACTCTTCTCGAGGAAACGTAACCAGGCGGGTCAACGATATCATTTCGTTGCTCTCTTCGAGCGAGTTAAGGCATATACATATTGTTCGCTTGTGCCTGCTGAAATTGGCATTGGCCCTCCGCGCAATCCGTTGTGCTTTCTTTTGATCTCTCGGCGCCGCTTCTTCCTTTATTGCTCGCTATGCACTAACAGAGTTATTTGAAACACGCGTGACTGGTCCGATGTATCAATTTATTGCCGTTCATCGAGAAAATATAATAAAAGCAGCGATCGGAGTTTGCACAAAGGAGAGCAGGGAGCACAAGATGCCGTTGAAAAAGCTGGAACATTACGAGTAAAGTTAACGTTACATTACCAGTGCCAAAGCTGGTGTCAACAATGTAGTCTTGAGAAAGACACTGACCGTTCGATTTTCGGCATTTTCTTGGCATCCAGTGGCATTTCTTGCGCGCACTCAAACACAACAAAAACCACAAGGTCGACAACGTCGACGTTCCGTATGCACGCTGACGATCCGCGAAAACGATAAAACATAGCTGACTCCTCGTCGTTCGGTTCAACGCGGCGCCCATTAAGCGGACAACGTTGAAAATGGCCCGTACGGGTGCGAGAACAAAGCGGCTGCTGGGCCATCAGCCGCCGAGAAGTTTCCATCAAGTTTTTTGCGTGCGCGCATTGCGACGTCAAGTCGTGGCACACGCTGAAATTCATAAGCTCGACATTTCCGGAAAATGAAATTAACTCTGCGAAAGGCAGCGCCAGTCGTAACACGAGGAAAGGTGCGCGCTGCCACAGGTATTCCGAGAGAAAGGCCGAAAAAACAGAGACGGTTTGCTGAGATAATACGCCGGCCGAAGTTGATATATAATTTTCCGACAGACCCCGCGAGCCACATCAGGAGGTCGATCCAATTTTCCAAGCGGAGAGAAACCAAGACTCCAGCCAGAGAGTGTTTCCTCTTGCTTATGGATTCATAACATTCGGCTGCCATGATAATGGACTTTCCGAGTACTGCCTGCAGATATCGCGATTTTCCATTGCACGAGTCCGCGAGGCCGGCGCTAGTATCGAGTGAACGGCGCGCAGGCACGCGCAGCCAAATGGATATGAAAAGAAGAGAAGAGTGGTGTGCTTTAATTACGTCGAGGAAAATCCGCGTGAAAGCCGTGCCGCTCGCGAGCAAGCGCGGAAAGCCGATTTGAGACGAGCGCGCCAAGCTCATCGCTCCTCCTCGCTGATTGATTCGCCGGGCAAAAGGGCGCACCTGACCGCTGGCGCCAACTACGCGCTCCATTTTTTCACGGTCCCTTGCCGAGTTAGTCCGCAAGATGAAAAAGGCGACCGCGAAAAAGCCGAGTTAGCGCGCAGCCCGTAAAAAGAATCAAAGTGCAAAAACGAAGAGTCGAGTGTGCAGCCCGACAAAGGAGGAAGAGGCCGCTGGAGCAGCGGCGCGTGCGCCCTCGGCGAGGCGGCAGAGTCTGCGGCCACGCCGAGGGGTGAAGGGGTGGCGGCGGCAACCCCTCCGCGAGCGCGGGGAGAAGCTCCCGGGGACGCAGCGCGCAGAGAGACGGCGCTGCCTTGAACGCGCGGAGCGCAGCGGGGCAGCCTCGCGCGCGCACCGCACGGCGCACGGCGCACGGCGCAGTGTCGCTCGGTCGCTCCCGCGAGCCAGTCGCCTGGCGCCAGTCGTCGGTCGTCGGTCGTCGGTCGTCGGTCGTCGGTCGTCGGTCGCCAGTCGCCAGTCGCCAGTCGCCAGTCGCCAGTCGCCAGTCGCCCGTCGCCCGTCGCCAGTCGCCAGTCGCCAGTCGCCAGTCGCCAGTCGCCAGTCGCCAGTGGTCAGTGGCAAGCGGCAATCGCCAGTGGGCACCCGCGCTCTCCCGGGTCGCGCCCCGCGGGCAACGAGGAGGCCAGGGCCGCGCGCCCGAGATGACTTGACGGCGGACGGGGCTCGCGCAGACGGACCGCAAAAGCAGTGGGCAAGGATGGGGCGCCGCGGCAGGCTGCTGTTCCTGGTCGCGGCGGCGGTGCTGCTGCTGGCGCTCGCGCCGCTCGGCGACTCGGCCTGCCCGAGCCGCTGCCGCTGCCGCGACGAGCTCGCGCTCGTCGAGTGCAGCGCCCGCGTACCCGAGGCCGCTTGGCTCGACGGCCAGCCGGCTGTCCGCCGGCTCTGGCTGGACCGCATCCAGCTGCCGCTGCTGGAGGCGCACGCGCGCGACCCCGTCGCCTCGCGCTTCTACCGGCGGCAGCTCGAGGGCCTCAGCCTCACGAGGTGCGCTTGGCCGGCCAACGAGAGCCTCGCGCTCGAGCTGCTGGCCAAGTTCGTCTCGCGCCTGGCGAACCTCAGGCAGCTGAACGTGTCGCGCAACGCTCTCGGCACCGTCGACTGGTGTCGCGACGTCGACGGGCCGAACATCACGGCCTTCAACGCCAGCCACAACGAGATATCGCGAGTGGCTCGCGACGCGTTCCGCGGCATGGCCCAGCTCACCGAGCTCGTGCTCGCGAGCAACCCGCTGACCCATCTCCCCGCGGCGCTGAGGCACCTCCGCAACTTGCGCTCGCTCGACTTGTCCGACAACAGGATCTACAAGCTCGACTCGACGCTCGGCGACATGCCCGAGCTGCGTCGGCTCAACTTGGCCGGCAACAAAATCAGCTTCTTGCACGGCGAGTACTTCCGTGACGCACGGAGCCTCGTCGAGCTCGACATCTCCAGAAACGCCTTCCAGTTCATCCAGGCCGAGAGCTTGCAGCCCTTCACGAGTCTGTCGGTGCTGAATCTGTCGGAGAATCGGTTGATCGAGCGCGACCTCTCGTTGCTGCTGGACTCGCTGAGGCGCTTGGAAGTCGTGGACGCGTCCAGGATCGGCCTGTGGCGCGTGCCGGCAACTCTCACGCGGTCCGTCAAGCTCATGAGGCTCGTCGGCAACCAGCTGACCGCCATCAACAGCGGCGACTTCGACAGCTACCCGCTGCTCGAGTTCCTGGACATGTCGGGCAACAAGCTCATCGCGATCGAGGACGACGCGCTGGGGCGCCTCGACGACCTCGAGCAACTGAACCTCTACGGCAACATACTGTCGAGCGTGCCCAAGAGTTTGCCGAGGAACCTCAGGATCTTGGATTTGCGCCAGAACGCCATCGCCGCGGTAAATGCCAACGACCTGCGTGGACTGAGCAAGCTGCGGAGACTGGATTTGAGCGGCAACGTGCTGGGCAGCATCGAGAACGGCGCCCTCCGCCATCTGACGGCGCTGCACGAGCTCGACGTCTCCGACAATCCCATCAAACGCCTGACGTCCGACGCGCTCGCCGGCCCGCAAGTGCTCTGGCGGCTTCGCCTGGCCGGCCTCACGGAATTCAAGCTCGACGAGAATCAAAATCGAGACGCCGCTTTCCCCTACTCGCAGCCGGAGCACCTGCTCCAGCTCGACCTCTCGCGCTCCTCTTCCCTGGCTGCTCTATTTTTAGCCGACAACGCCACGCTTTCGGCTTGCAAGCAGCTGCGAAGGCTAGATCTCTCCGGTACGAACATCGGCTCGGTGAGGGCCGACCTCCGTTACGTTCTACCGGAACTGGACACGATCGTTCTACTGGGCAACGAGTTCGACTGCGCCGCGTGGACCGAGCGATTCGTGCGGTGCCGCGACCACGAGTTCATCGAGTTTCTGGCGGAAGGAGCCGAGCAAGCGGCCTCGCCGACCAAGCCAATGCTCCGAGTCTCCGCTGCGACGACACCTTTCAAGCAACGAGCGACCACGCTCCACTCGCTTCGGACTTCGGATTTCAAGAGTCAAATGCCAAAGCAATTCGACATGCTGGTCAAACCTACGGCAACGCCGCCGACGACGGACTTGTTGGCGAGCACCATCGGCAGCACGCGAACAGCGCCCACGGAAATGCAAACTTTGGAGGGCGAGAACGCGACGCCGTCGACGGCAACGTCGGCACATTCCGTCGAGGAGCGCCCAGACTGGCACACACCTGGTCGGTCCATAGTTGTAAATAAGAAACTGCTGAAGAAAACGACACCTGTGGAGGACAATCAAAACAGTCAGACGACAACGAGGTTGCCGTCGACTGGTCAAAGGAAGCTGGCCGCAACTATGAGAACTTGGACCGAGGAAGGTATGATTGGCGAAGATCAGCCGGCGATAATCAATTTGGAAAACGACGGCATTACGACCACGACCTACGACGAGCATTTCAGATCCTCGAACCATATCTTTTCCGAGTTCTCACGCTCGAAAGTTCTGCTGGCGAACGACGAGGAACAAGTAAGTGCCGAGGAGTTGATCAACGATCGAAGCCAACGCGGCTCGGAATTCTTCAGTAGTGGCACCCATCCAGGAATGCTGATACTCGTTGGCGCGGTGATCGGAGCTGCTGCGGCATTGACCGTCGTTTTGTCGAGACGGGCCACAGCGAAAGGTCGCGAGCAATACCATCGCCAGGAAAACATCGCGCTCACACCAACCACCGAACAACGCTGGTGAATCTGTATCATTATGCCCTCATTGTATAGCAAACTTTTCTCTTAGTGACTTCTTACACGTTGTGACAATAAAATGTTTGAGGGACATTTGCGAACGTTTTTGTAAAAAAATCAATAAAATAAAATACGTTGATTAAAAAAATGAAAGTCGAAGTTATGCTTAGAGTGAGAGTTTTCGAAATAAGCCAAAAGATGTTGTAGGCAAAGGTGGCAAAAAGACTAGATATTATCTTTCGTAAGATACAAAAACAAACAAACAAAAAATCCAGTGTCAAAGTAATATTACAATAATAAATAATGTATCGAAGCCACACGCGGATGTATAATTGAGTAAAATCCTTCCTTTTTATTCGATATACTCTGACAACGTACAAGTATTACAATGATTTTATTTTATATATATATATGTGTGTGCGTGTGCGTGTGTATCGGTGTGTGTCTATGTGTGTCTGCGCGCGCGTGTATGTGTGTGTGTGCGTGTGTATGTAATAAACTTGTACTTGTAGATATGTGGCATACTACACTGCGTGTGTTAACAATTTCTTTGGTAGTTTAGTTTGAGATATTGTAGTTTTCTTAAATGCTCGCCAAACTTGTGCACGAGTAGTTTCCCTTTTCGTTTTTGCTTTCATCGGGTATCAGTTTTCTCAATAACGTACATAAGAATACCATATAATATATTTGTTAAATGAATACATACTATTTTGAAAAATAAACTTAATTAAAACAAGCGTTTGCTATGTAAATTATTTGGCATATTTACCCATTTCTCATTATCATTGATTTTACTATAGATATAAGTGGACAATCTGCTATTCAAACCAACAAATATAAGTTGCACTTAGATTCGTAAATTTTTCTTTCTGCAGCAGTCAACAAACTTATATAAAGGTATTCGTATCTTATGAATGGTAACATTGTTTTTTTTTCTCAAGTAAGTCTCGAGTGGTGAATTCTCTTTGTACTGTCTGGGATTCAAGATACATAATACAAAGTAATCACGTCAGAGCTACCATACGTAGTGCTTCTTCATGAATATTAATTGTTGGAACGGGATCAGCAAGGTGGAGCAGCATCTCAAAGTATGTGGGATCACCGATGAATCGACATCGCTGACCTGGTACTAGTTGTTTTCTCGTATTTAGTGCCTTTCTAACCACAAGAAGATATTCCACACGGAATGCTGAGACTTGAAAGATTGAAAGCCGTATAAATCTTGGATGATAGAGTACAAGCATCGCGACGGCTACGCTTGTATGTAAAAAAGCACTGCAATATGCGATAAATGGCACTTTATTTTTGAGGCTTTAAGAGCACTTACATTGTTGAGACTTTGCTAAAAGTTTATTTGTTTATTCGTGTGTAATGTGTGCATTTCTAGAATTTTTTATAGTCTTGAGTGCGAAAGAGAAAATTTAATACATTTAATACATGATCGGTGATAGAATAATGAACATGTCCGACTAAAGCACGACTCACGCTACTTATTCAGACTTGGAGTCTAGAAAATAAAAGCGACGTCTTTGTAGCGAACATTCACGGGGACCGTGAATGTACAGCACTCTTATGCACAAGAGTTCAAAGTCTGATTGGCATGAATTAACATGAACAAGTCAATCTGATACTGCTGCTAGTATACTCGCAAAGTTTTATTTAAAAGTGTTTAACGCGCTTAAGCATTTGTCTATAGCAGCGTCCAAGGGGCCACGCGAAATCGCTGTGAAAGTTTAACAAGGTCAGGAATATCGAGATGATCGATCGCTACTCCCTTTTTGCATAGAAAAAATGAGATGCTTGGCGTTGTTAGTCTGAGTCTTTTTTTCCCTCTTGTCTACAAGGTAAGTATCTCCGCTCAAAGGCACTGCTTGCGAATAACGTCGAAATTCAGCTGAATGGAGCTTGTTTCTCATCTTCTTGCCGTATATATATTTTATTTATTTATTTTTTTTAAGGAAATTGAGCTGTAAATGAAGCGAATGCGATGAATATTTCGTTTTGCTTTTACGATTTAACGGAGAATTCGTTTTCATCTCGTTTGACGTAGACTTCAAAAGGATTTGAAAGTAAATGAAAGTTCTCCAATCACGCCAATATCCCGCTGAAAAGTCTGATATTCGCGAAGGATGCGATCCATCTTTGTTAGGTTCTCGAAAAAAGACGATTACACATACAAGTATTATCGTTGCATAGTGTCATTGTAAAAGCAAATACAACACCTGCTAAAAGGTATGACTATATAAGATCGCGCGTATCTTTCGGTTGCTTTGCCTTTCTTTCGGAGCTCTCGCGGGCGCGGCAGATAAGAATAAACCCGATTCGGCAAAAGGCACCCAAGGATAATTCAATCAAGAAAAGCATTAAAGGCTCTGCTTATCGGCTGGTCGCCGAAATTCACAGTTAGCCGAGCTACTCTCCCCAACATCGATTTGCATAAAAAGTACGTCTGCGCGTCTATGCGTCTGCGCATCCGTGAAAACTAGCCTGCATAAATGATAATTAGTTATCGAGCCTACTGGTTGCTAGCTCAGACTCTCTTCGGCACGTAGTAGTAGAACCTTTCATTCTCGTGTACTGACTTCTTTTCGAGCAACCTACCTTAATCGGCAATCTTTAGCCGAGAAGCATTCTATCAATGTTTGCAAATTTTAATCAACTTCACCGTGCTCGGGCTTTTTACTTTGAGCAGGCGAAGACGGAACCAACTTTAGGTTGGCTTGCTCCGCGTGCTTAAAGCATCGATGATAAATGTACGCCCAAACAATTATGTTGAAAGCGTGAGCGTCGGTATATTGAATGAGCAGTGATTCGACGACGTTCTACGTATTCCGAATGTATCTACGAAAACCCCATTCGACGCTTCAATCTTGCAATATGACGCAGTCAAGGCAGTTACTTGAGCGTCTGCAGCTCGTACTGACGCGACACAAAGCCAACTATATTTCCAATGAAACGAGCTGCAATTTCAGGTCAAGTGCAATAATTAGCCAGCGAAAGCTTTCTTCGGGCGGAGAGATGAAGTCAGCAGCCAGACGATTCACCGTAGGCAGGCTGCAAAATTTCCCATTTATACCAACTAAGTACTTGGAAGACGCAAGCCTACGGAGAAGGAGAAAGAACCTCACCTGTTGAAAAAAGAAAAGGAGAGGCACAACAAAAACTCTGGAAATCCTTGTCCTTCTTCTCACGAGAGAGCTGTGAGTGTAATTACGAAGCGTCTTGCCAGAAGGGAACGACGTTTTACGCGCTCTCCCGCCTGCGTCTGATGCAATATGAACGATATGCCGTCTGCGCGCACTACTCTCCCTCTCGCCGATCCGGCGTACAAGACGCAAGTGGCATTTACATATCTATGTTATTCAGCCGGGACTGCTATTCAATTTCCGCGAGCGAGTCGTCAATGCAGCAGTTCTCTGCCTCCTTCTCGTTACCTCCTAGTAATAAGGTGCCCAAGCCAACGCGCTGCCCTTCACTGCGGTTTTTAACCGGCGATCCTCGCGCAAGATGCCGCAACCTTGCTGAAACTTGTGCGAATTTCATTTCAGATTTTATCGTGAGTTTCTTACTTTCCATTTTTTCAGATCACCAACAAGCCAAGCTTCTAACGAGTTTTTGCCATAGCTTTCCTCACTTTTCGACTACCTATTTATTTATGAAATTACCGGCTGCACTTACAGTGGAGACCTCAATCACGGAAACTTTCGAGAGCAAATTTCTACAATACATTTCCACAATAAATTTTTAATAAATCTCCAAGTAGTACAGCTACAGATTTATCAGACCTGTCTACCTTTTAAATTTATCAATAACGGTTTTGCTAAAGAACGGACATTTTTCCAATTTTTAGAGGAACGTTGTTACGTACTTTATGTCAAAAAAGCTGCCCTTTAGCAAAATAAACTCAAAGGAAAATCCACAAAAACACAAAAAACAAAAAGTGTTCTTTGAAATTCTTTGAAAAGTCCTTTACTGATCCAATACCCAACACTCAAAGGCCCGTTGCAAAAAAGTGCAGTCAAAACCACCTTGTCAAAGTAATATGTATTTGAAAATAGATTTTCTAATTTTCAGCTTTAATGCATCCTGATTACAACGTCACATAGACGAGTGCACACACGTCGTCGTTGTGAAAGAGAGGATCGATCGGATCAGGCAGGTGCGTATAGTATCGTCGCTTGCCCCATGCACGCACAAAGAGGAAGAAACTTGCTCGATTTCATGGGATTTACACTTCAATCATAACTTTATTAACGAGCGCCGTTGTGTCAGCGACTACGACGATGTTCCCTCAGCTTAATAACGCCTCGTTGGGTGCCATTGCACTCGACGCTGGTGCGTCCGTTGCTCCCTCAATCTTTTTTCTCTTCCCTCTGCAGCCTGATACGTGGCTTGTTTAGGAGCGTCTCTCTCTCTCTCTCTCTCTCTTCAGTAGGGGACAGTATAAGGCGCGATACAGGCTTTACGCGCAAGAGGCTTTGTGTGCTACGGCTAATTTTGGGACGAGGGTCGATGTGCAGTTTTTTTCTCAACTATTATTTACCAAAACTTGATTGTGACGGTTGGCAACGGAAAAAATTGGCTAATTAAAACGAACATGTTTACATTACAGTCAGCAGGGTTATAAAACTTAAAAATCGGATTTTGAGTCCAAAAGCAATATTCCTTTGTGAAAAGAAAAAATACCAAGAAAAAAAAACCCAGGCGAGGTGATAGAACTTGAACGCGCTCCTTTCCATCAAAAAGTCCCGCTGTCTAATTCTTGAACAGAAAAAAGAGCTCGACGTATTACGAAACCGCGATGAAAAAAAAATATTTATCGGACTACTACTCGATATTAAATTGTGTATAAATAGATGTCGAAGTTGTCCGTTGAAATTCTTCTCATATTTGCATGGACACCCGTTTGAAAGGAGATTTCGTTCGGAAAAATGTGATTGGCGGTAAAGTCAATCGTTCGCTCTCGGACCCAATGGAAAACTCAAGATCTCAAAATTGTCTCCGCTTCTAATTATTGATTTGATAGACATTTAAAGGGTATGGCTTTCCATTATGCTTTGTTTCATTTTGAGTTGCACCGATAAGCCGCTACATTAAGAACTTTGGAAACGATCTCCGAAATCGAATACGAGATTGTCATGAGATGACATAACATAACGAGTAATGATCGTCAGGCGGAGACTTGTCAAATTGACAAAGAATTGCCAAATAAAAGTTGTAAAATAAAGCCTTTAAAAGAATATTTGGTAAATGTCTCTGTCTCGCGTGCAGAGCTGTAACGTAGCGGCGGTGGCGCATCTCGCATCTCGCATCTCTGCTCGCAAACGCACGGAGTGAGAGGGTTAGGTCGGCGTCGTCTCGAGTTAACGTGGCGCGGCGGAGGCTCGACTTGGCGCGCGCTTCTGCACAGGGATCATAAAGAGAGTAAGGTCGTCCTCGAGTGTCCGACTAATGACGCTCGTTTCCACTTGGCGTGTCGTGCGCCTTGGTGTTTTTTGCAGCAAGAGCTCGGCCTGAATTACCTGGCGCTGAGCTTTCTTTGCCGCGCGTAAGGCAACGAGCGCATAGGCAAAGGGCCTTTTTATTTTTTTAACGAGCCAGCGCTTCCCTTTGAGAAAGCTTTTACGCGGAGCTAACTGTTTAGTGCTACTGTCGGTTTCTTACACCCGGCAGTAGAGAGAAAAAACTCGTTATACGAGGTCCGACGGTGACACGCACCCCGGTCCTCAATGACAAAACATCGTGGGATTCTAGCGAAAGGAGGTCGAAGTCGGCCGCGTGCGGGCGTGCAATAATCGTAGCATAAATTATAAGCGTTTCGAGCGCCATGTCGGACCTTGGCTGGCTTATAGCCGCGAAAATAATGAATGCCGTCGCTAGCTGCTGCTCCTACTGGCTGCGCGAGCTTTGCGCCCGTTTAATTAAACTCGCCTCGTGATCTATGCCCGTACTTGCCCTGCCAGCTCTTTTCTCGCTCTCCGGGTTATTGCCGGAAACGTCGACGTGAGCTCGAGAGTGCCTCGGGCCGCGCCTTGCGTATCTATTTATCCGTGGACAGTCGCGATCGACGCACGAGGAAACTGGCGAGCGCCGGAATGCGAGGCAAGTTGCATCGTTATCGGCACGTTAACCATCGGCAGGGCCGCGGACGAAGCTAGTGCTGCGGGATTCCAGCCACATGCCACCAACTGCACCCCGAGAAAAGCCAAGGTAAATTAAGTAAGCCCTTTCGCTCACCACTATCGACTTGTCCTCGGGGAAGAAGGCACTGTGCAAATTCTAATTTCATAAGCAAGTCAGCCGAGCGAGCTTTTCCTCAAATATTTTGAGTAATCGTCAATGCGAGCGGCGAACGGGGAGAGGGACATTGCAGCGGCGAGCAACCAATCGGCTAATTAAAAGCGTCGCAGCGAATCGCAACGGCCGAGTCTAATAGCTCGGCTAAACACGCCACTGGAAGTAGGCAATCTCGTTAATCGAATAGCTTCTACAGGCTCGCCTGCTGCTCCGCAAACAGCAAAGTTGCGCGCGAAGGCGTGCCCCGCTCGCGTTAATAACAGGCGGACAGGCTGGACCTCTCGTCAAATCCCATCGACGGATAAGACCTTTTCGCCGAGCCTCTTGACCCTCTTTCTTTATTTCTGCCTCCTCCAGAGAATCGGCCAAGCCATGCCCACGACCGTTGCACGCACCCTAAGCGAAGGCAGCACCGGTTGCGAATTTAATTTAATTGGCCGGACGGAAAGTCGACATGGCAGTCCGCTGCGTTGATTGCAATTACCGACGAGGGCCGGCGACCTTTCAACCTTTCAACGCCCAGTCTGGCGCGCTCTCGTTAATTAAAAATTGCTAAGCAAGTGAGCGCCCGGAGATAGCCGGCCGAAAAAAAAAGGAGAAAAGGAGACAAGTCTGCTGAGCGAAGAATCTCCGAAGCCCCTTTTGCCGCTGTCGCACCGCCAAGCTAAGGCCGACAATTTCGCAGGATGAAGCTCCAAATGGAAATGCCTCTTGGGCAAAATAGCTTGAAAAAGCAAGCGCCAGACTACGACAATGACAAGCTTCCAATTGACATGTGGCATGGCTATAACGAACGGTTGCCGATTAAAGCAATGTGAAACCGATAGACCGCTCGCGCCTCAGCCGCTAAGCAAAATTGCTCTAATGACTGCCTTGCCCTCGCCGCAGCGAGTCCTTTTAAGTGGATTTGCATGGCACTGCCGCAGCAGCTGCCACGACGACATTTGCAATGCACGCGACAGAGGAAGCTTCTCTTGGCTATTCGCTCTGCTAATGATTCAGAGCAGCCTTGTCACTGCTGCATCAATTGAGATAGTGCTGCAAGCTCATTTCGCGGAATACCTACCTGACCCTCATTTTCCACAAGTTCGCCAACCATATAAACTTCATCAATACGCAGGCAATGAGTTTTTACACAGCAACGCGTGCAATTCTTCGGACAATGGATACTTACCACCGAGATCGGCCAGAAAGATTTCTCGCAGTACGAGGAATTCCTCGTCGACTGGTATGTTGGCTTTGCCGAAACTCTCGTTCTCCGGCCAGACGTCCCTGAAAACGACCAGTTAAAGCCGAATTAGTGCTACGTGCAACTCTATGCTTGTGGCGCCTGCCCCTCAACAGTCCACACGGAAAGACGGACGATTTTCCTCTCTTTCTTTTTTTATTGCCTATCTCTCCACCACTTTTTACGAGCTCTCAATTTTTGTAACCGCCAGGCCGTTCAACTTTTACGCGCTGTTCATTAATTTTATGGACAGGCATATTCGCCGCGGAAAACCGCGAGTAACAGGGATTAAACGCTCTATGGTTTTGGTGTTGATTTTCAACACCGTGCGCATATTTTGAGTGATCACATTGTAATGTTATCGAACGTAAATTTCAATCGCGCGCCTTAGATTTCGTGACGCTTACTGATGATTTAATAAATTCTATTTTTAAACTGTTTTTGATTCCCTGCCATATTTTAATAACTCTCGCTTGATTCGCAAAAGAAGCAAATGAAATCGTAATTAACACAGCAGCTTGTTGGTTACGCTTGCCAAATTATTCGTGCGATTCCCCGAGCAAGTTTTTGCCGCGCGCACATTTTCATATCACGACAACATTTACTGCGTTCGTTGCTACATTATGAATAACAATGATGAACATTGTCACGAAGCAAAAGAACTTGCGCGAGGCAAAAAAAAGCGCCAGTTAGAAAAACTAAATGGAAAAAGTTGCTGATGCTGAAGTAAAGCGGCGACGGCGTACTACACCAAATGCACGCATACACGATCTGGACTGCACATTTCATTTCCCGCGGAGACTAGCGGTAAACAAATACAAGATATGGACTCGCACGAGTATAAGGCCCTCAATTTGAAGGATGAGAACAGACCGGAACCATGAGAGAGAGAGAGAGAGAGAGAGAGAGAGAGAGAGAGAGAGAGAGAGAGAGAGAGAGAGAGAGAGAGAGAGAGAGAGAGAGAGAGAGAGAGAGAGAGAGAGAGAGAGAGAGAACACGTATCTAAGTCTAGCGTAACAAGTTTCGAGTGTCTTCCGTGCCTGGGCGTTCCTATGAATAACTGGTCTTTTCTACTTTTCTGCCTTGCGCGATTTTGACTGCCTACCATTTATTCGTACGTCACACGGTTGAAGAAACTACAAATATTACGTTATGTCTCACACGTGTTCAACTGATGTTGATTGGATACTGCCTAGTTGTTATCGCGTTAACGTATAGCAAGGCCTCCTCAATGGATGCGACTGTCTCCCAACACTGCTAATCAATCAATGCCCTCTTAATGAAAAAACTGTATTACAAGAAATTCGCAGATCAAAGGAAGCATTGGAGCTGGCTTTGCTCAAATGCAAACCCATCACTCGCACCCCGACAAACTTGCTCACAAAACGCAGAGGAAAAACCTAATTAATAGAAAGAGAGACAACTGAATAGCCGAGACGCTGATTGAACGGCCAGACTGAACACACTTCAAAGGCTTGCCAACTGAATGAGCCGACCTTTTTGCATTTGACGAAAATGAAATTCGGCAGGCTTCGTTACACTGCATTTTGCAGTGTTGAACTTTCAAAGCCTGCCGAGTTTTCGAGTATGCACACGCTTGTATTTTGTTCTTGCCAAATTACACGGGAGTTGGCGAACTTTTGCGTTCTGCTTCGCTGAGAATTTAAGTAGTAGAAGTCAATTATAGTCAGACGTGAAAGTTCTCTTACAATAAAGCTTACTTTTCTATTTTGGACTGTTGACCTATGTACTTTTGACAGATTTTACTCGAATGAAAGTTAACAAGATTCATCGAACATCGGCAGAGTTGGCAAGTTTTTATCAAAGGAATTTCACATAAAACTTAGCCGCTAAACTTATAAGCTATTTATCATGATCCACGAGAGTATATCTTGCTACTTCTTCAGAAATGTGATCTTCCGTGTGAGAAGAAAGGATAATAATGAAGCGAGCAATATGCAGGTTCAATTTCTAAATGAAAAAATTTCGCAAAGAACACAGACGCGATCGTATGAAAACGCGGCAAGGGAAAAGATGAAAAAACGAATTCACAAGAGTCCTCCATCATCACACGCGCGCATGTATGCAATCTGAAATGTCTGGTCGCTTGGAAAATTCCTTCAGCGCGATATTTCCATACTCGCGGCGGCGTTTGAATGGAAATCCAGCGCCATTATTCTTCGATCTCTCTCTCTCTCTCTCTCTCTCTCTCTCTCACCGACAATGGCACGAAGCGAATTCAGCGAAAATCCAGCCTGATTGCCGCACGCGAGAGAGACTTTATTCGTTCTCTCGCGTGCGCGAGGGAGAAAGAGGCAGCTTCCATTGTCGAGGACTTGGGCGAAATTTTAATTGAAATCGGCCTCGAGGGTGCTCTCTCTCCCTCTCTCTCTCTCTCTCTCACCGACTGTTTCGCGAATTTTCCTCGCAGTTATCCTCAATTACACACGCGACGCTCGCTAATGGCGCACCAGCGCCGCTATAGCTTTGGGTATATGACTTGTTTTCCTAATACCTTCTTTGTTTATTTGTTGGAGTTATAAGGAGTTATTAAACTTGTGGTGTGCCTCTCAGTACATACGTCCCTCCAGCCAAACGTATACAATTGATCGTGGTAGAGGAGACGAAATTTTCGAGACTGGAGCCACTAACAATTTTTCGACGAAACCGTCCAAATTCGATTAAGTGAAATATTTACGAAAGTCGAATAGCCAGATAAAAGGGAGCTCAGTCGAATATTCGTAACATTTCGTGCGCGTAAATATTTGCGCTTCGCAATACAATCCTGCATGAAATGAGCTTTTATCATGAATTCAATTATTACAATTGAATTCGATTAAAATTTAAATGCGGCTAATTGGAATGTTGATATGTTTACGACGTTTCCACGAAGCCATCGAACGCCTATTACAAAATGTTAATCAAATTTATTTTTATTGTTTCAAAGTTAATAATTGTTGTGGCTTAAAATAAAATCGATCACTAGCCCGAATTTGGTTCGAGGCGAAGCGCGAAAAAAGTAGGTTTAAATACAGATTTTTTCTTAATCTGTAGTAGTAGTAGTAGTGAACGTGAAACTTTCTTTCGAACTTTGAGTCCTTCACTTGACATGCGCTCGATTTCAATCCATGTTTCGATAATTATCCTAACATATCCAGTTGTCATGGTATTTCTATTGTATACGTATGTTTGTAAATACAAGAAAAGGAGACAAGCAAATGAAACCAAAAAATTGGAATGTTGGAGAAGCGCTAATGTCAGAACGTAGCTAGATCAATTTATTCTCTACTTCGCGCAGCAGCACTCATGCAGCCTTGACTCGCCACTTTCCTGACCAAGACAGCGGTCGCTCGTATCAAAAGGTTTCTCTCATTGGAAAACTAAACTCACTCATCCAACGACCTCTGCACGAACTGGGAGCCCCGTGCTCATCTATGGAGGTAACCGATTGATGTTGAGATATTCTGCTGTTGGCTCTGGAGTTTCGCCGCATCTTTGTTCTTTTGCCCAGTGAACCATCCTTATTTGTCGATAAACCAACAGATTTCAAGTTGATCGAGTAGTCTACAGTGACTTGTATACAATTTTTATTTTGCTTTGATATCTAATAATGTTTGGCATCCTTGTAAATGTCCATCACTCTCACTCTCGTTCTTCAAGGAACATTTCAAGTATCAGTCGTTTACGAATAGCCTGACTTTACAGTAAATTCAGAACTTTTTAAGCCTTTAAACACTGCCGATCAAAAAAAAAATATAGTCAGTTGTCATCGGCAAGGTAAAGGTAGATGCAGTGTTTAAAAAGACAGCAATCCACTCTTGAAAATGAGTTTACAGGCGAACAAGCAGCCAAATTGTAAAGTCACAAGCAAAAAAAATGGTGCGTTTACTCGCGCGGAAATGTATCGATACTTCCCATTTCCTTATTGATCTTGGACGCGCGTTCAGCAGCAGCAGGCAGACCGGCTCCTTCCTGTTTGCTCGCTTGGCCTTTTTCATTTCCTCGGCGCGCACTCACGCACCCCACGGATATTATTTGAGCAAGCTTCGTACAGCCGTCGAGGAGGGATGAAAAATGGTGGGACGAGAGCTGCGGAATTGAGCAGGCAACTACTGCTGCTGCTGATCTTCGACAGCTCTACCGTGACTTTCGAGTGTTTTGCCAAGAGAGCGCGTAAGCTGCCTCGAAATATCTGGTTCATGCACCACATATCGAGTTGACATTTTGCGACTTTTGAAATTGGCTTTGAAATAGGAATTTCTCTCGTCAAAAGCTAATTGACAGCGTTTCATTTACAGCTTTTCAACGTTGCACGAGTGCGCTATTCAAGATTTGGGCATAAGCGCCTAAAGAGCGATTTGCTCATATTCTTCCGCTAAACTTTTTCAAGCGCAACAACGTAACAGCGCGAAAAAACAGAAATTAAAAAACATTAGTAGGAAAAGCATTTCCAGTGGCAACGAGAGCCTCTCTCTGGGTCAGATCCTGCTCGAGAATAACATATAGGCTCAAAGTGCACTGATGCACGCGCGTCGTCCTTCGAAAAAGCTTGCATCATCCGCACATCAGCGGTATTGCGCAATTGGGTCGAGAATTCGCACCGAAATTAACCTCCGCCTTGATTAGCTTGCGGCTAATTAGATCGCTGCACACAGCTCTAATCCTAGCTCTTAGAGAGACGAGTCCAAAGAAAAAATTTTCATTGCTTCTTATCATCCTTTAGTATGAATGCCTCATTAATAATCTCAGAGACTTTTCCGTGCGGATCTTTTGCTCATTCGACTGTGCCTGATCTGATTTCTTTCATTCGAAATATCCAATAATACCATTATATGAATTCTGCCCAGAAGCTAATCAAGGCGGTCCAAGGGCTATGCGATATAGGCTCCGGTGCGTACAACTCTGGCTTCAATCAATTGCTATGTAAACAAAAATTTCCAGGAAAGGGTCTTTTATTCCCCTCGACACAATGCAGTAGGCAAACAGCAGGATACTTGAAAACTGGCTGCTTTAATCTTTCACTCGCGGAGGCATGATGATCAGC